ATGACTCCGCCGGTGACAGGAGTCGGCGCTATAAAGGAAGCATTGGCTTATGCGGCTCTGCTCCCTCCGCTGCTGCCTCACTTCCTCTAGCGCCGGCTTCATGGCACCGCTGATTCTCTCCCGCGGCTCTTCAAGTTCCCCCTTATGCCACCACCAGCCCTGGGAAAGGTCACAACTAGGTCTTATTTTCGGGGTAGGTCTTATATTTTAGCAATTCCCAAAAATAGTACTAGGTCTTATTATTGGGGTAGGTCTTATTTTCGGGGAAACAGGGTATATAAAAAAAAATTACATTTCATTTTAATTTCATATCCAATTGTATATCCTTAAATGATATAATATGATATGGAGTATATTTATAAACAATTTGTAGAGACTTTTGCCCTGCAAATCTCTGTGAACGTTTGTTGTGGGTGAATAGAGGGGAAATCTAGCGTGTTGAAATGAGAATACAAAGTCCACAGGACACGAGACGGCTCTAACTTTCTGGCTGGGTCATCAGATATGTCTTATCAAACAGATATAACAAAGCACTTTCAATTGTAATATTTAGCAGACCGAACGGGAGCAGATAAGTGAAGTTCATTGTTGGGGTTTATTTACACTTTAGTTAAAATGTCCCTGCCACTGCGGCGTCAAAAGTGAGAGAAGAATTACGTGTGTAAAAAAAAAAAAAAAAGTTTTCCCCCCCTTTCTAGATAGTTGTGTGTTGAAATGCTGCCGTGATTCCGCTATGTAGCCGCTGCAATTCAACCCTTCGGGTGAAACGAATACCTGCTTCCCTGCTGCAAGCTGTGGTTCTTCCTGCCAGCTCCCGTAGTGGACATACAAGACGGTGGGAGGATCCACGGTGTGCGGTGGGGGAGCAGATACTCTACACATCCAAAAGTGTGGAACACAAAGTTAAAAACACATTTTATTTGATTGAAGACATATGCAGACTAGGAATGTTCAGATAGCAGTGCCGAGCTGCAAAGGGAAGTTCTCCCCAAGCATGAGAAGAGATAAGGATTTAATGGAAGAGCAGCAAAGTGAAGGGAAACAACCATGGATTACAGTAAGGCGCACATTACAGTATTGTTTTATGTTAAAAAATCTGAGGGTTTAATGTCACTTTAATGGTGTTTTGTAGGTTTCAGTTTAGGTATAGATGAATATATATTTTAAACAATGCCATGTATTTAAAGAGCAATTCCAAGCAAAAAAACAAAAACCTTATCCTTGCACTGGGGCTACTCCCACACAGCAAGGGTTAGGTGCCCATTTTGTTCCAGGGGCTAAATTAAATATCGGAATTAATTAGCTGATCCTGGCGTCATTGTGCTGCTGGACTGATCCCCCATCCTCTTCTCCCCCCGGCTCTGGCAGTCCAAGGTCTGCTCCTATTCAGGTAAATTGACTTGCATTAGACAGAGGAGGATCTCGATGGACCTTCCATAGCTGGAGCGGAGGGGTGAGTGCTGACCACTGTGGTAGCCAAGAGCAGGTAAATAAAAGCAGCTTTATTTGAATCCCTTACACAAAAGGAGAACTTACCTTGCAGTGCAGGAGTAGCCCCACTGCAATGGTTTGCTTGTTTTTATTTGCCCAGAGTTCTTCCTTAGATCTCCTCCAAATCCCAGTTGTCCGTTAGCCATAACATTTTTATTAGCTCGCGTCTTACTTCAATGTAAACAAGGTATTATTTACGTTCTGCTAAACGCTGGATCCATAATCCTTCTTCTTGTGCCAGTGATTGTATCATTTGGACCAATTTCATGGGAAAGGGTTTTGGTGTTAGAAAGAAATTATAAAGTAGAAAAAAAAGAAGCTAAAAATGATTAGGCTGAAGTCGCTGCACAGAAATCAGAAACCAGGCGTGGATTCTAGCACAATATTTTGTTACTAAAGGAGTAGGAGCTCATTCACACAACACCACATGCATAGGTTACATGCGTTGGTCTGCTGCAATGCCATTCATTGTGAACAGCACCTGCTGAAACGCACAGCCAGTTACTCCCCTCGCTCTCTGCCCTGGCTGGCTCCCCTCGCTCTCTGCCCTGGCTCCCTTCGCTCTCTGCCCTGGCTGGCTCCCTTCGCTCTCTGCCCTGGCTGGCTCCCTGCCCTGGCTGGCTCTCTTCGCTCTTTGCCCTGGCTGGCTCTCTGCCCTGGCTGGCTCTCTTCGCTCTCTGCCCTGGCTGGCTCTCTGCCCTTGCTGGCTCACCTCGCTCTCTGCCCTTGCTGGCTCACCTCGCTCTCTGCCCTGGCTGGCTCTCCTCGCTCCCTGCCCTGGCTGGCTCTCCTTCCATCTTTTTTACCTGCTTATTGTATGCTTTAGAGATTCTAACCATCAACAGCTTCCAGGGGACTCTGCATTTGAGTTTGCACAGGCCAAGCGGCAAGTATCACCTCTTCTCTCCTGTATGCAGGTTAATTGATAATCGATGGATGGGTTTTAAAGCCAGAGCATGGTCATTCTCAGTAATTACACACCAGAACTGTCATTTCTTGTTTGGATACTGGGGATGCTGGATAATGTAATTCTAGGATTGTTAAAGTGGGGCTCCAGCCAAAACCATTTTGGAGTGGGGTCTGTATAGAGTGGGGTTGGAATCTTTGCCTTTTTTTTGATAGCCTTCTACTTCGCCACATTGGCGTAATCACTCTGTCAGCAAATTTCTACTAACAGAGCCCAGAGAAAGATTCCCAAGTAGAAGACCTAAACCGCAATTGTAGGAAGGCATCTTAGGAGCGCACAGTAAGGATAAGGTGCAGAAACTGGAACCAGTCACTTGCAATCAAGATGGCAGAAACTCTTATAGGAGACCAAAACCAATCCCGGACTGTAGCACCAATGGATTGATGGGTAGTTAATCACTATGCCTTTCTCCCATTCTACATGGTCCTTCACAGCATTATTCATATTATGCTTCTGCAAAAGTTGTAAAATATTCAGCTATAGAAATAGAACAAAAACACAAGACAGCAAGGTAAGAAATTATCAATCTTATTGCAGTTGAATCAACCATTTTGAACCCTGGGAAAACCCCCATTCTATAAACAGTTCCCTTTACAAAAGTGTCACTTTTTTTCCAGCAGTACATAATTTGCTTTACATCAATTTTAATTAAAAAAATACAAAAATATTTTCTATAATGAAAACAATATTTTCAAGTTTGATTGTATTAATACATTAAAGATTTTCATTAATAATTCATGGTAAAGTGGATAAATCACCTATGTACACTGCAAAAAGTCTTTCTGTGATATGAATTCATGTTCATTTTTTTTCTCTGATTTCTAGTAATTTGATTGGGCATTCTCTGTGATGTCACCGGTCTCTAGTGAATGGATAGGCTGCATTCTCAGTGATGTCACCGTTCTCTAGTGAAGGGATAGGCTGCATTCTCAGTGATGTCACCGGTCTCTAGTGAAGGGATAGGCTGCATTCTCAGTGATGTCACCGGTCTCTAGTGAATGGATAGGCTGTATTCTCCGTGATGTGTCTAGTGAATGGATAGGCTGTATTCTCAGTGATGTCACTAATTAGATACGTTTCTTCTCATTAATGTCACTGATCTCTAGTACACAGTTTGTATTTTCGGTGATGTCACTGGTCTCTGGTGAGTGGATGGCTAACTGAGAAGATGACCTTCTCCATAGTGTGCAGGAGATCCATACATTATATTTTATATTTTTTTATCAATGATAAAGCTTAGGAACATAACTATTTACAAGCTTGATTGAATAGATGAAGGTATAGATATGTACAACACGATAACACATTCCTGTCATTTTTTTTTTAAATGAAATTTTGAGACCGCAACCAAACCCCATACCTTTTGTCTTTGCCCGGGTCTACCAAAGACATGCCTAGATGTAAAGTAACCCAACCTAACTTCAGTCCTTACACTGCATCCGGACTCCAATAACCTCCTGGGGACATTGGTCATGTACAGTATATATTGTATAGTATGCTTATGTTGCAGTTAATAGCATGTTAAGGGCCTGATTTCTGCACAGATTTTAAAGACTGTAGGTTAAAGAGACACACAGTACTGCCAGGAGCAGCACTTGGACCCCGCATAGCATGCTACTGGCCATCAGTAACTCCTTCACATGAAAAGATTCTGGTCTTCTGTCAGCCCCATCCAGCTGGGCCCTCATTGTTGCAACCTGTGCAGTTTCCTTGGTGGAATAGTGTACATTGTGGTTGATTTTTACCTAGTCTGGGTCTTTACACCTGGTCTTTATACATACACAACCTGCTTACACAGTAGGGTGACCTTTTACTCTACTCTTCTGTGTGTACATTGTACTGACACAGAGTGGATAGACTGTCACTCCCAAAAAGTATCCTGCACAAAACAATAGGGGAGGAGCAGACATTATACAATTAGCCCTGAACATGGTACACCATAGGATGAAAACCTTCTAAAAACATTGTTATATTGTCTAAAGTGTATCTAAATCCATCCATTTTTGATCTTGGATAGAGTAGAAAAGGGTTATTTTGCCATCTGTGTCCAAGGGGGGAGATTTTCCTTAATTTCCTGTGCTTTAGACACCTCCAGATGTGAGAAGAGATCTTCATTAAGGGTTATCACCTAAATAATAACTCGATGGTCACCAGGGCCAATAGAGAGGGTAAATCTCCCCAGTGGAGACACGGACAGCAATAAAGACCCGACAGAGTCTAATCCTTTCCTGCCCTATCCAAAAGTAGAAAAAAGGGTTGTGCATACACTTTAAGGAAGAACACACATTGATTCTGTTGAGAAAAGACTGCAGTGTAGACCTCGGTGCTTAAGGAAAAGACTATGGTGTAGATCTCAGTGCTTAAGGAAAGGACTGCGGTGTAGACCTCGGTGCTTAAGGAAAAGGCTATGGTGTAGACCTCGGTGCTTAAGGAAAGGACTGCGGTGTAGACCTCGGTGCTTAAGGAAAAGGCTTTGGTGTAGACCTCGGTGCTTAAGGAAAGGACTGCGGCGTAGACCTCTGCACTTAAGGAACTCCTGAGCTTTCAGGTGAAGTACTCATCGAAATATGAATCCATCTAAAAATTCAGGTTTAGGCCTCTTCTCTGTGGCTACATATGACCCCAGCATCTTCTTGGTGGCCACAGTTGTGTTTGCCAATTTCCTTATGCTTGCAGTCCAATAGGGTCTTCTCCTTGCCTGTGCACTCCACGTCATCAAGAAGGATTGGAAGGTTCTTTCCTTCTCCAAACTCGGCTTGTTTGGCAGCCTTTACAACATGAGGGAACCCCATCTGTCGGCACACAACTGCGGCTGCTTTGCTGTTCCACAAGTCATCGCACACCGTGCCCCACTGTCCATTGATAAAGATCTCGACCCTCCCACGGTCAGATTTATTGCCATTTGCCAAGCGCACTGACCCGCTATGTATTTCCACAGATTTTGGCCTAGAGTCTGCCCCGGTGTTTGTTTTTGTTTTCTTTTTTTGTCCCTTCTTCTCGTTGCTCTTACCACCCTTCCTTGGCTTCGGTGGTTTGGTTGTGGTCGGCCTCATGGTGGTTGGGATTTTTTCACCTTGCATGAGCTTTAATAGTTGCTGCACCCAATCAGGAGTGGAGTTGGGGGGTGGCTGTGCAGTGGCTTTGGCCCTTCCAGTTGTTCTTGATGTGGGTTTGACCTTCGGTTTCTTAGTTGGGGTGGCGGTTTTTATGATTAATTCTGCAAATGAAGAAATGTAAAAATCTTGGATTACATGTATTTTGTACAATTTTATCTTCATGAAGTTAATTTTTGCTTCATATCCAGGGCTTGAAAAATCTGCTCACCCCCTCGTCTATGACAAGAGGACGAGTAGCTTCCCGGACGGCCTTTGTAAATAAACAGCGGGTCGGGAGCTTTACATCCAAACGCCCGATCGCTTGTATTAGCTGTGGTTTTGAACCCCCCCGCAGGCAGCCCCCTCTGTCAATGCAGGTGCCAGTGCGGAGATCCGCTGTGCCCGGTGCGGCCGGGACTGGCACAGCTGCTATGTGACAAGAGATCAAATGGAGCTCAGTACACAAACTTCCTCTGATCTCCTCCCCAGTCCCCGAATGCGGGAAGTGATGTATATTACATCACTTCCGCATTCAGCTGTCATTCCCAGCTACAGACGCTAGTGAAGCAGATCTGTTCTTCATCAGCTTCTCTGGGGGTCCCTAGGTGACATTAGGGGTCTTGGAGACTCCTGAAGTCTCCATAAAGAGGACTTGTCATGTGAATTGGCTATCACAAAGGGAGTTTCTTAGTCCCCTATGTGATAGCAATAAAGTTAAGTGTATAAAAAAAAAAGTAATATCAAAATTTAAAGAAGCATAAAAAAAACACAACATTTTTTTTTAAGTCCCTACCCCCCACACACACAAACATATCACTACGAACGTCGGAGTGTGACCAATAATTTTAGGGCCATTATTCACTGATAACACTAAACTGATGAGCAGTAAAAGCATTTAAAGCGTCGCCTATGGCCAATTTTTTGCAATTTTGCGAGCTCATGCAATTTAAAGGCTTGACATGTGTGGTGTCTATTTACCCGACGTGACCCCGACTTTTATATTTTACCAAAAAGTTGTGTAAGAATAAATGTTTTTTAACATAATTTAGGGAAAACATTTTTTTTTCTTTTTTAAATTTACGGTACTTTTTTCATTATATAGTAAATAAAAAAACTACATCCCCCCACAGTGGTGATTATATACCACCAAAAGAAAGCTCTGCCTGTCCCTAACAAATGTTAACATAAATTGCAAGGCTATAGTGCGGTCATGCTGACTGGTGACACTTTTGACTGAGTGGTGAGACACCGTAACATTTTTCAAGCCCTGTTTATATCTGTATTTTGTGTTGGACAACTTGTACACAATGGCTCAGAACTATTCCAAGTATTGGGGACTCAGAACAAATGCACCTGAAGAAGGATTATAGTGACAATACCTTTTATCTCTGCACATATTGCTGTCTTAAACTTAAAACTGCAGCGGGAGCAGTGAAATACTTACCTTGACCCGAGAAATGCTGCTATGGGATCTCAAGGCATTTGGTCACAAGACCAAATTCTTAGGGGAAAACCAGGAATCAAAGTGGCTGATGTTCTGCGTAAGCAGAAATCACATGACCACATGCCTAGGCCTAAGTGATAGAACCCAAAGGGCTCAACTGTGAGCTTCTCACAATGTGCATCAGAAGCTGCAGAAAGTCAGATATAGCAATTTCCTCGCTGGAGGATGTCCAGCATCAATCTAGACCTTTTCTCACCAGCCTGGCTCTCCCTGACACCCCCTCCCACCTCCCCCCACTGGATTTCAGTGATGCCAATCATGGAGGCTCAGCATCACATGTGGACATTACTTAGGGAGGTCTGCTGGTTTCAGGAAGCTATGTGCAGCACCCTCCCACATTGTGCATTAGAAGCTGCAGCAATTCAGATAGAGCCTGCCTCGTTTTCTAGCTGCAGGACATCCAACATCATCTAGTACAGCCTTACTGTCCCTGGCCTGCCCCTTTCATTCATTGTATTCCAGTTATTACAATCATGGAGGCTCTACCATACATGTGGGCATAGCCTAGAGCAATCTGCATTCAAATTCTCCCCCAGATAAACATCAAGGTGTATTGATATGTGCAAAACCACTCCCAAGAGCCAGACCACTGCTTGCATCAGGGCTGAGGCAGGGTGCTGTGATGTTTTAAGGAAGCTATGCACAGCACTCTGCCGGCCCCTCCCACCAGCCATGATCTGCTTGCATTGCACAGAGACCCAGTGATGACATCCCTGGATCTAAAATAATTAATGAAAACAAAAAGATTTTGTTTAAAAACCTAATCAGAATGTTGATAAAAGGGGAAGGGGCCAGGAAAGGCAAAATTATATGCAAATTAAACTTCAGCTTTAATGATTAGACAACAGCATTCATTTTGTGTTTTTTTTCTACCTGGAATTAAACTTTGATGTAAATTTTGTATTTCGGAGACCTAGAAGATTTGTAACACTTTTGAAAGTCTGACGTTCCTCTCTCTCATACTGCACACTCTCTCCTACGAATAATTTCCAGCATGACCGCCCTCATCCAGAAGCGGAGACGCATCACGCCGGCCCAAAGCACCCTGAGAGCAGGATCGCCGCACATCTCTAGATGACTCGGAGAAAGACGATTCAATGAACAAGAGATCTTTGTTGCCAAGACAACAAACACATCCTGAGAACTATTTTCTGAGCAGCGTTGACCTAGATACGCCCGTGGCCACAGGATCGGCGGTGATCCCTCAGCAAATGTCCACTGTACCGCCAGATAACAATGGCCTCATGTAACAGAGAATAAAGGGGAACTAAATGGACAACTTAGACCATTTTACAGATTTTCTAAATTTAGAAAAGTATATTGAGAAGGGAAGGACAAAAGCTGATGCAGCTGGTTTTAAAGGGTTAGTCCACCTAAAATTATGTTTTAGTTACAGGATACATTTTTGGGGTTTTATGATTAACTAGACAGGGCAAAGTTATAATAATAAAGCAAATCAGTCGCTTTTTGAAGCAAAATTCCGCTGTGTGAACTCAATGAGCAACCTGGTTATTGCCACTTTGGACAGTGGGGAATGGTCCACCTTTCAGAAGTAGTAGTAACAGGAAATAAAGCCTTCTTGTGTTTATTTATGGAAGGGTGATATTCAAAGAATAGGGAGGAAAAGAAAAATAAGATATACAAAGAATAAAAAATTCCTTGTATATCTTAATTTTTCTTTTCCTCCCCATTCTTCTCTTACAGTGGCCATTATTAATAAATCTCCCTTTTACTTCCTGGACTCTGGCACATGTGACTAAGAAATGTGAGCATGCACAAAGTCACAGGGGAGGAAAATGCCTTTCCCTGATATCTTGTGAGATTGCTGATAAGATTTCCCAGCAATGCTCTGCTGATGCATCCAAGGAAGGTTACAATGCTTGGACACGCTAAGCAATCATGCCTAAGAGGACCAGGAAGTGCAAAAACCAGCTTGTGGGCAAGCAGGCCTAAATGTAAAGCAGGGGAGTTGCCGCTGGGTGGATCCAGACAGTATTGTTGGGGTCCGTCCCGGCTGCGGCGCTCTCAGTATATTAAGGGCTATACTGAGCTTTGGGTCATGGGCGGTGGTTAGTATAAGCCCCCCTGTGACCCTTAAAGACAACTATGGGGAAAAACACTTACCCCATAGTTCTCTTTTAAAGAAAATCTATAGCTAGAAACTAAAAATATGTATTTCTATATTGAATTTCTGGCACCAATTAGAAACCCATCAACTGAGGACCTTCTTATTATAGGGGGTGGTCACGTTCAGATGACATTAAAAGCAAAAGTTCAGAAAGATCTAGCGTTCCTGCGTCAATAAGTATGCACATCGGAGACAAGAAAACTGGCAGCTGCGGCAGCTCGTTAGACAGTCTTGGCAGCTAAGCAAGAGTGATATCCCAACTTACTTTCTTTTGGCACAAATGGCACGGTGGCGCTCTTCGTCTTGACCGGTATGGAGTGGTAACGGCATTTACCAGGTGGGGCCCTCCTGTGGAGACAAGACACAGCCATGATGAAAGTCTGGAATGGGAATAAAAGGAGCGTTTGGGATGCCATTTGTGAAGAGTGGCGTCCTGAGTGACTGGATACGAGAGCTATTTGTGTAATGCGTGTTCATAATTACAGAACATGAACGAATTATATGCGGTTTCTCTACCTAATTTGGGCAATCGCCTCCCTGAGTGCAATAGCAGAAACGAGATTTGTGAAGCTGACTGTGACCCAACACATCTGCAGGAGATTCCAGAGCCAGAATCTAATCTGCAGATCATCAGAATGAACATTAGAGCGTGCACACAGTGACAGGCTGCCTCCATTTGGACATCGCAGCTTACAAATAATGTGCAGCAAATGTTACAATGTATCTAAAGCCAAAACATTTTTTTTGTTTTGTTTTGGGGCAGAGTGGGGAATGATGAGATGCAATGGGTTTTTTTTTATTGACATTTGTGTTTCCATTGGGGAGATTTGTCCAGATGATCCTTGACAATGGAAATAAAATAATAGCAAATCCAAAATACTATGGGCTTCTTTATAAAACGTCCATCCCGCTATTCGCCAGCACAAGCACCCTTAAATCGCGGTGACAAGTATAGGTATTTCGTATACCCATCAACTCCATCAAGGAGCGCTGCTGATGTGCGAATGGCATTCTTCCGGCTCTACGCTGGGTGGGAGTTATTTCAATAAAGCCCTATAGACATCGGCCCAGGAGGTGAGGGGAAGTCTTGGGACATCCGTTCCAGTAATAGCTGTCTTCGTGTGTGTTACAGCACATAAAACACTTAGGGATGGTGCAGACCTGGGCGATCCTGGGAAGGGCGATCATGTGCGGGTGCACACTGCGGTTGCCGCGTGGCCCCATTAATTTCAATGGTGTTACAGCGGCGAGGCAATCGGTGCGAAATTGTGTTCAAGTGCCTGGGTGGAATCGCGGCGGGAAACCGCGCAATCCGCCCGGCGCCACTGGGATGCCATTAGAAAAGAAAAGATCAGCGTTGGTGTGCGACTCCGTGATTGCACGGCAATCCGCGTGGTTTCATGCACAATTGCCGCGCGGTCACGGATCGCGCAAATGTGAACCTAACCTGAAAAACCGGCTCGCTTATTAGAGCAGAAAATAAATCAATGATTCTTATACACTATCATATACAAATGGAAGCCTGGGCTTTCCTACACACAGCTTTCTTCCTGTCTAGTAATTAGGGAAAACAGTCATTGGGAAACCTAATAGGGATAAAAAGACTGAAAAATAGCCAATAGCCTCAATTCACAAGCTGCACTCCAGGTAAAACATCTTACTCTAAATACAAGCAGCATGTGTACAGTATATTGTTAGTTAAATCTTGGTGTCCATTGTGTATTTCCTCCACATACAATATCTGTGGTAATCCAGCATAAAGCAACTCCTGTGGTTTGCCTCTATGCAAGAGCTTCCTGTGATCAAGCTCTCTCTCCTTGTGCAGGGTGACTGGTCTTGTCTCCGCCCCCTCCTTTAATAAAGACCGGTCACTGCTGCTCTCTCTCCTTGTGCAGGGTGACTGGTCTTGTCTCCACCCCCTCCTGTAGTTTTCTGCAGGCAACCTGTAGTGGGAGGAGCCTGCAGGACCCCTCCCACAGCTCTGCTCTCCGTACAGGCTATGTGCAGCACAGTGATGTCACAGCCACTTTTGCTAGGTAATAGGCCAAAAAAAAAAGACCATTTGGTTAAAAAAGTGGATATACATCCTTTGTGGCTATTGAGGGATATATTTACATGAATGTTTTTGTGCTCGGAGTTTAGCTTTTAAAAGATATGCTGTGCTCCTTTTGAAAGTTAGGTCATTGCGTCTTCTTTTCTACCCTCCCTATGAATTACCTGCTAACCCTGCCAGACCTGTATCCTTGTCACGTCTTTCACCAATAAGATGACACCGCTCGCTCAGCTATTCAGAAATCATGGTGGCATTGTTATCCACACATCTGGTGTCTGCCTGAACAACAGCGTTGTCACCACTAATAGACATGCTATTAGTCGCTGGGCCCACTAGCTTAACCCCGTCCTCTATCCCTGCCAGGGCCGGATTAACATAGGGGCTAATGGAGCGTCAGCTCCAGGCCCACCACTGAAAATGGGCCCGGCTGGCCCCGATTGCATTGGTATGCCCGATGGCAATCTGGGCCGGCCAACCGCTAAAAAAAAACATACTTCAAGCAGTGCTGTTCTCTTTGTGTTTGGGGTGATGTTGTGGTGGTTGGAAAATGCTTGGAGATGGTCATGTGACGGCGGTTACACTTTAACACAAAGAATGGAAACTTTATTTCAGCCATGTCACTGTAATTTTGAAATCTCTTTGGACTGGAGCTGTAAATATCAGTCACTTTCTTTGAACATCAGGATACACACACACAGACACACACACAGACACACACACACACGCACACACACACACAGACACACACACAGACACACACACACATTTTATGTACAATCAGCTGCTTGTTTTCACCTGGAAGTGTCGATTATCTTGTACAAGACACCAGTGGGAGATTCAGCACTTGGTATACCAGTAGACATGAAGTAGAGTTCCCCTAAAAAAATATATCAGTATAGTCAGAGGTTAATAGGCATCTACAAATATTTTTGTTAATATCTGATGTCTGCTTTATCAGACCCGAGGGCAGGGGTAGCCAAACTCTGGCCCTCCACCTGTGGTGAAACTACAAATCACATAAGGCATTGCAAGCCTCTGACAGCCACAGGAATGATTTCTAGAGGCAAATGCATGTTGGGATTTGTAGTTTCTCCCCAGCTGGAGGGCCCTGCCCTAGAGTTTTGGTCTGTTGAAAATGTAAATAATTACATGTGTTACAATTAATGAGACCACTGAAGGGAATGAACATATACAGAATAGGTAACCATTGATACTATGGGGATAGCAGTGGTTACATTTATATGCTCATTCCCTCCAGTGTTCTCTTTTGTACCATTGTATCGCCGTACTAACATGTATTCATTTCCTATGATCCTCAGCTCTATCTAGAGGCCATAATGTGGTATTTTCCCCATTTTCCCCATTCTCTCCGTTCTTCATGAACATACCTGTTGAAGAACATTTGACCAGAAGAGAAACTACAGTAAGAACATTCATTTTGCCCCATTCTCACAACAGCTGCTAAACCTGCACAGAAAGAATGTACCTGCAGTGTTTTGCTGGATGAATAGCTATGCAAATTTCTTTATAAATAAACCTCATAATCCCAAACCACGCTACACTGAAATGATAAAAGAGGAAATTGTTGGAGAAATGGAAATATGACACATGTGTATACACACTGTCCTCACTTGCAGCTCATAGCATGTTGCTACTATTATCATTGCATTATGTACTTATCAAATTCCCAGATGTAGACATTTCACAGAGAAATGTTGAATGGTGACTTTTAATTGTCATGTGTGTTTAATTTTCTTTTTTTTTGGTGGGGGGGTGGGAGGGGCGTGGGGGGAACGGGACTGTGAGGAAGCTGGAAGGAGTGTGAGAGAGTCTGAATGGAATGATCTGCCATTCAATACCCTGATCTGTATAATCCCATCAGAACCGGTGGACGGGGTGCGGACCTGCTCTCAGTTACTACCTCAATATCCACCGCTACAAAATAATCACCGTACCACAAATCCGATGTGTTTATATATCAGGAGTGCAAAATGAAATTATCATCTCCCAATCATGAAATATTGGTGGTTGGCAATTATGAATATAATGCAGTAAAATCTGTGCAAGGAAATCTAACAAGGATCATGGTAATGTGTAATTCTGCTTCCAGTAACAATAATAAAACAGAATCTTAGGGCCAACCCACACCAATTGCAGTGCGTTCCAAAGCATGCTACATTTGTTTTGCGTGCGCACTGGAACCGGAACGTAGGGAATGTTTTTTGTCACGCGGGGGAGGGCGTGGCTATGGTGCCATTGACTTTAATGCACTGCCACCCTTCTGCCAAAGAACAAAGGGGGAGGGGGGGTTAGTGTGCGATTACAGTGCGTTCCAGCAGCTACCACTCCGGAACGCACCGCACTTGGTGTGAACTGGCCCCTAATATTTTTATGCAGCTTAAGACGGTGTCTGTAATAGTCAATAAATGGAATATTCATCACTGATGTATTTGTCTATACCCCTGAAGAGCACCGGTCATGCTGTAATGCACTATATTGCTTTTGTCAGGCAAATGAGCACTAAGTGCATGGCACAGGGACACTGAGGGGCCTATTAATAAACAACTGGCAGAACCATTCGCCTTGCAAATCTCTGAACATCCGTTCTGTGCGAATAAAGGCAAAAATTAACATGCTTAATATATTTTAGTATATTTTCTTTTCAGGTCAAATGTAATGTAATGCAATACCACATTATTGCCGCTGGACACTTATTTCCTATGCTCCTCCACTCCATCTAGTGACCACATGTTCACCAACCAGGAACACATGTGAAGAAAGAGAACCCAGAGCAACATCAGAACTCTTGATCTGTACAGTGGCGTCACTAGGGGGGTGCAGCCTGCACCCGGGTGACACCAACATGACTGACAGTCATTTTGATGTCACCCCCTCTGAAAAGTCGGGCACTCTGTTATTGACCGAGAGCACAACAGTTGCAGGAGACCCGGCGACATACCTTATCCCGCTGGGTGAATGCCCCCTCCTCTCTCTGCCGGCATCCATCACCAAGATGGCCGACGTCAGGTAACAGCGCATACCCACTCCAGGTGAAACTCTGCCTCGGGACACCCCTGGATCTCTATATCAGGGGTAGGCAACCTTGGCACTCCAGCTGTTGTGCAACTACAAGTCCCATAAGACATTGCACGTCTCTGACAGCCACAGGCATGACTCCCAAAAGCATGATAGAATTTGTAGTTTCATCGCAGCTGGAGTGCCAAGGTTGCCTATCCCTGATATACGTGTTCTGAGTCAGTATTGAAGCCCCGTGGCTTATTATGACAGGCCGGCAACCAGCATTTTCAAAACAAGAAATCAGCCACTGTAGCCTCCATAATATCTCAATACAGGTTTCCTTGTGATATGTGGAGGTCAATGTTTAAGGTATATGGAGCATCAAACGAGGCCCCTGACACCCCCAAGGGGCCACACATGATATTTAGTGTATGTATCTACTATATAAGACTAATAGAGTATATATATTATAGTTAGTATATGCTATAAGACTGTCAGTGCCTATGGATATCCTTTAAGAGATGATCAGGGACTGTGGATGTGCTACAGGCGTGGTTAGAGAATGAATACATGATAATGACTGCTGGGATCCCAAGGGCCACAGAATTATGACTGCTGGGATCCAAGGGCCACACATAAAATATCAAAGGGTCAAAGAGCAGTACAGACTTAGCCCTGTGTGTCAGTTCCTATGTGTATTATCAGATCTAATAGAGAAGCATTGCAGTTTTTACTATTACCTGCTTCATCCTCCCCAAAGGAGATGATGTACTGGTAATAATTATTAATGAGCCTGGGAAACATGCAGGTCTGTCCTGTGCCCATACAGATCTCATGGTACTGCCATTCTCCTGTATTCTGGTTCTCCTTCAGAGCCATCAGACGTCTGTACAAAAACAAACAAAACAATAACAAAGGTTTATGTTCTGTTCTAATAACAGATCATCTCCGCGGGTCTGAACAATACAGACTGTTCCTTCTTCCATAATGAGCAGAATGCTGAACTCATTAAAATATTAATTTACATGAAGGATTCATTATGTTGTTTTCATAGATGTTCATTAAAGCTGAACTCCGGGCAGAAAGAACAACAACATGAACTAATACGGCTCTATATACAAAAAACCCCCCCAAATCATCAAAGCCCATACACACCATTGTTGTGACCATTGACACGCATTATACCATGCATCAACATGTGGTGCGTTGAGGCAGCCAATTCAAAATGAAAGGGGCTCCCAGGTCACCAAACCGAATGAAAAATAGTGCAGGCGTTGCATTACAAATATGGTGCCGGGACATTTTATTGTCTGTTGTCGTGCATTTCGGGCCCATAAAATAAATGGGTTGTCTTAAATGTAAGTAAACAATAAATGTCTCTTATTTGTTCCCTTTTGGTCCATTAAATATACAATTGAAAGTGTTCTGTTATATCTGTTTAATAAGTGCAAACTAGGGATGCAGTGATACAGAGTATTTGGGAGAGTACTCATAGTCGCCCAAATGCTCCGATACCTTCCCCGATACAGGAACTTCCGGTCAGAGGAAGATTTCCTTTGACCGGCAGTGCCGTAGGGGAATATGGAGCCAGCTTCACGTGTGATCAGGAAGCTGGGCGGCGCGTAAAGACCCTCCTCCTGGCTTCCTGATTGACCGAACAGCCGGCTCCTTGTTGATTGACAGGGATGTTGGCTTCCCAGCCAATCAGCATCGAGCCGGCCAAACAGCCGTGGAGGAGAAGGTCACTATAAGGGAGTTTGCACAAGGCCATCAAAGATGGAAAGCTTACAACAGTTGCAGAGGAACTTCAGAGGGTCCTGGGTGTGTCAGTCAGGTGCAAGATCAACTCGGCTCGAGGCTGATTGGCTGGGAAGTCGGCTTTCCAGCCAATCAGGATGCCGGGAGCCGGGTCATTACTCATTACGCCCAGCTTCCTGATTGGCCAGGAATCCGTCTTCATGCTGATCGGTTGGGAAGCCGGTTTACCGGCCAATCACAAGCAAGCCTGCCAAACAACATGGAGCTGGCTTCCCATGCAATCATATTCCTCCGCCCGGCTTACTGATTGCCTGGGAAGCCTGCTTCATGCCAGCGGAAGCACTGGTATCGGTATTCGGTATCGGTGCATCCCTAGTGCAAACCAATACCTGTTGATTCTGCCACCAATTCAGAACTGTCCTGTGTCTAGTGCTTACTTGCTAACCTGTGTAATATCAAGGAGACTAAATAGCCCTTCCAGTTTTTATATTGGAACTACAGAATGATTAGGCTTATGTTGTGGAGGTGGGAGAGTGGGTGGGTTTGAGTAGTTTGGCAAGAAAAAATGGGCAGGGCTGACGCCACTCAGTTCACAGAAATGCTGCATGTTGTCAGTCCACAACAGGGCTGAGGGCACTTCTGGCAGATCAACAGGTATTCCTCTGTACTTGCAGATTCTTTTAAGGAATAAACACAAGAGAACTGTGCATATATATTGAGTATGTTTGTTTTTTGTTATTTTGCCCCAACATACATCAACACACAGAATGCTATACGATAGCATGCAGGCAGTAATTCCCTTTAGTGGAGTGGTTGTCATTGTGAGCCAGAAGGAGCTAGCAAAACAGATGTTTTTCTGCATCACCTGTTTGTTCACGAAACTGTATTCAGACCGTGGCAGAGACACTCCAACCTGCTCTTCCCCACTGACACGTTTCACACCTTATTGACTCAATGGTTAACCCTTTTGCTGCCAAGGCACACAGTTTAGGCCTGGCATTTACTTTAAACCCCCAAGAGTTATATATTTCAGTAAAAATTACACTTAAGTTAATTTTGGTGCCCAAAAACAGAATACCCATTTTTTTGTAAAATATAAAAGATAAGGTTGTGCCGCGTAAATAGATACCTAACATGCCAAGCTTAAAAATTGTGTGCACCTGTGAAACAATGACAAAATACGGTACCCCAAATTGCCTATAGGCGACGCTTTAAGCCCCCATTCACACGAGAGAAGAGGGCGGCCCGTACAGATCCGTGTTGCGTGCACGGGCGTATCGGGCCGCTCCCAGGAAGGACAGGTGCTGTATGTGATTTGTACGCAGCAGGCTGTCCTTCTCTATGGGAGTACACAGCCGTACGCCGCCCTATGCTCACCCTACCTGCACGTGCGTACGGGTGCGGGTGTCCCTGCTCGAATGCAGACAGGATTCATCCTGTCAGCGTACGAGTACGGACACCCGCACCAGGTACGGACGTGCAGGTCGGGTGAGCGTAGGGCGGCGTACGGCCACATACTCCCATAGAGAAGGACAGCCTGCTGCGTACAAATCACACGCAGCACCTGTCCTTCCTGGGAGCGGCCCGATACGCCCGTGCACGCAACACGGATTTGTATGTGCCTGCCTCTTCTTGTGTGAATGAGGCCTAAAAGCCTGTACAGGTGATCAGTTTAGAGATATTCATGAATATTTGGCCCTAGAACCATTGCTCTCACTCTGGCTAGTTCACCTTTACAATAAAATGTTCCATGTATTCCAGCTGCCGGGAAGGTTTAGCCAGCCCACATAGCTGAGGTGCAGTGCGAGCGTGCATAGTAAATAGTGGCACCGAATGGGCTATTGAAGGCCTGTATGCCCCCAGGACTGAGAGATCATCAGCTGTACCATGTGACCTGCAAACCTGTATCTGATTATGTTCTGTTACTGACCTGGCTTGTCCCTTGACTCTTCTTTGGCTTTCCTTAGTTGCTGTTTGTTCCAGTATTTGGCTACAGCTTGTTTTCTAACCTTGTTTATTGCCTTCCTCTTGGTACCTCGATGCCTGCAGGTTGCTAACCCGGACCGTCCCTGACCTTCCTTCTGCCTGTTGCATTGGCACTGTGTTGCATGCAAGTTGCTGACCCTGGACTGTTCCTGGATTCTGCCTACTGGTGTCCTACAACTCCTGCAATGAGACGACTGCATTCCAAGTTTCCGTGCTACTCCTTTGTTGCTGCACTCTCTGTTCTACTACCAGGGGTCCTTGGACTGAAGCTGTAAAAGAGGCCACCCACGTCATCTCAGGTTCCCATCAAGGTACGTGACACCAGCATACCCAGTATATTAACACTGCACCGTTTTTAAAAAGAAGATTTTTTTTGCATGGTAGTGAATGGGAAGTTTTATTGTAACCATGAACTAACCATGAACTAATTAGTCAGAGAGTCAATAGGGGGCAAAACATGTCAGTGGAGAAGAGCAGGTTGGTGTGTCTGAATAACATTTTGTGAAGAAGAAGGTGAGGGATGTACAGCATTTCATTATTGAATTTCTGCCAGTAAAGCCCTAAGTTGGGTCTGCATCTGTGGCTGGAGTGTGGGGTGGTGGAGCAGAGCCGCAGAGCTCGGTATCAGTCATCTTGTAAGTGTATTTAAAAATAAAAACCGAAACAAATTGAACTTACCCACTCATAAAATCTCCAAATATATAAAGACCATTTAAATTTGGATATTCGCAGCCTCTGTACACATATCCTCCAGTGACCGACTTTCCTAGCTTGTGCGGGTAGGCAAAAATCGGAAGAACATCACCTACAGAGAAGGAAAAAATGACTGATTAACAAAAGGGAAGAATTTATCATTTTTATTGGGGAAACTATCATAAAATGTTAACTACCATTCATTAAAGAGCAAATAAATGTCGCAGCACCTGTCCCTCCCGGTTATAGCCCTGCACGCCGCACAGATCTGTACGGGCCGACTCTACGTTGTGTGAATGAGGCCTTAAGTTTAGTATATTTTGTACTGAAAATATGGGTTTACTTAACCGTTGCACTATTACGTGACATAAAAAATTGCTACCACCATTTTATTCACCAGGAATCTCTGTTTTCAGATCTATCATTTGGGAGGTGGGGTTAAAGGAGAACTATGGGGTTAGGGCTTTTCCCCATAGTTCTCCTAAGGGTAACGGGAGGACACAAACTAGAAACTAAAGCTCACGGTATACTGAGACACCGCAGCCGGAACGGATCCCGACAATTATGTCTGGATCCACCCAGCTGCGTGAGTGACAGCTTGCTCTGCCTATCTAGAGGCAGAGCCAGCTGTACCCGCCCCCTCCCGGGTCCGTTTCGCCAGTCAGCGCTAGAGGATCGGAGCGGGGAGGGGGGAATCCAGCCCCTCCCCTGTCAGGGCTCTCTGCCGACACAGGACCGAGAAGTGAGCGAACGCCGCATGTGTTCGCTCACCTCCCGATCTACTGAGCCGACCTGTGACAGTCTCATTCTCACAGGTCGGCTCAGATTACGAGGCTGAGTGAAAATCACTCACCTCATAATTCTCCTTTACATCTTCAGGCCCAAAATGTGCATTTTATCATCTCTGCAAAAAAAATAGAAATAAAAACCGGCTCTGGCAGCAAGATGGTTGACTGAAGTACAGCAGTATCACATGACGGTGTCATTACCTAGTGATGAATTGGTACAAAGCTTTTTATCATAGCAGCTGAATCCTTCCCTGGCCCTCCAGCCATAATTCCTTCCTTTCTCTACAATGTCGACTTCTTCAAATTTGTTTTGTCCCACATCTCCGCAGAACAGGCGTCCTTTCCCCTCCTTTGTCTTGGGGTCTCCCCTGTCAAATGAGCAGCGCCACATGTTCCTCACCCCGTAAGCATAGACTTCAGGTCTGGCAGACGGGTCGTCGACAAACGGGTTGTCGGCCGGGATTCGGTAAAGGGGGCCGTGGTTGTTGTGATTTACATCGATGCGCAGAACTTTACCCAGCAACGTGGACCTGAAAATTGTAACAAATATTTTTTAAAAATACAAAACACAGTATAAGTTAAAAAACAAGTTTTAAACAACTTGTCTAATCACGGGCAGCTCAGTGAGGGAGAGTGTCTTTGAAACGTTGCCGACAGCAAATTAGGACTTTTTGTGGCAAAATTGATTTTCGTTCATCCTTACTTAAAAGTTATTACTGTGTAATTATGCCTGAGAAAGAAAACTCCCCAGAGTCCCAATTGAAGAATCTCCTCCCCTGTCAGTGCTATGTACCGGGTCCAGTTCTCACCTTGGGAATTTAAAGCTTCGCTGCTTTGGGAAAAATAGTACAAGGGTGGCAACGCACATTCTTTGTTCCCAAAGAATTTAATAGCAGCAAATAAACACGTATGTGACATAACAAACCCTTTAGCAACCTTTACTTTACTTGATTTTCAAAACACTGGCCAAGCAAAAAAAAATGCAGCGTGCATGTAAATGCACTAAAGTGCGTGTCAACATACATTAAAATGCTCATCAAAAATGCGCTAAAAATCTCCAGACTCATCCACCTTACCAACCGCTCAGTGTCCGATGCCCCTCTCTGCCAATCTCTCCATTGGCTCCCACTTGCCCAACGAATAAAATGTAAAATACTAACAATAACATACAAAGCCATCTACAACTCTGCCCCAAACTACATCACCAACCTCATCTCAAAATATCAACCAAACCACCCTCTGAAGACCTCCTGCTTTCCAGCTCCCTCGTCAACTCCTCCCACGCTCGCCTCCAGTACTTCTCCAGAGTGTCTCCCATCCTCTGGAACTGCCTACCACAAGCTCCCTGCTGATCTCCTACTTTGTCCACCTTTAGGCAATACATGAAAACTCATCTCTTCAGGGAAGCCTATCCCACCTCAACATAATAACTTACTACTTCCATTAACTCATCCCACACAATTTTTACCTTTTTTTTAATCACATGCCCCTCCTACTAGATTGGAAGCTCTTACGAGCAGGGCCCTCCTAACCCGCCTGTATTTCAAATTGTATCTGTACTGTCTCCCTCCATTTTGTAAAGCAGTGTGCAGACTGTTGGTGCTATATAAATATAGTATAATAATAATATTAAGGCCCCATTCACACCTGACCGTTTTGTAGCGCGTCCTACTCTCGATGAACGCTCTACAAAACTGTCAAAAAAAGAAATAGCATTGTAGTCAATGGCCTCGTTCCCACCTGTCCGTATTTCCGCCCGTCCCGAACGCACTACAAAACGGCCCACGCATGAAAAGGTCCCGAAGCATTTTTTGCTGCGTATTGGTCCGTTTTGTAGGGCGTTTTCCATTAGTATACTGCCAAGTAGCCTTTGGAATCGCGCGACGGTCGCGCGGCTTTTTTACCGCGAATCGCAGTAAAAAAACCGCGTGACGGTCGCGCGACAGACGCGCATATTACAATACGCATAGGTGTGAATGGGGCCTAATAATAATAATAAAATGCAGATGCAAAGGTGTGAAACCTAGCCCTATAAATTATTATTACTGTGGCAGGTTTGCTACATTGATTAACAAACTCTGCACTTACATTATTCCCCCTGCAGAACCCCCCCCAATTAATGAAAAAGTTTCAGCATTCCACAGCAAATTAAGTGTTTTTTTTATTTGGGGAGGACAGAAGCAAGAATTCTGAATTAATTATGACCCCCCGCCCCCAGGATAAATAGCTGAGATCTAATAATAAATACACATAACAGAAGTGCCCTCAGGACATTAGTAAATGTTCTCACTTGTTCTGTGCATTCCCAAACTTCCCAAATGGATCTCCAGCCATCCCTCCATCCCCGATGAATATGTAGAGATAGCCGTCATCTCCGAACAGCACCTCTCCGCCATTGTGATTGGACGCTGGCTCTTCCACCTCCAGGATTATCCTACAAGACATAACATAACACATATAGGGCTGGACACATTAAGAAGGACACGGCTGAAAATAGTCACGAGTCATTAAAAGTAGATGTAAACCTGATAACTCTAAAACCCCATAGGAGCTGTAACATGTTTTTGCAGCTTTAAAAGTCACTTTCAACATTATTAATTCTGCAGCTTTCATTAAAATAATACCTGGTGATCCTACTATGAAAGGTCCTTGTTTGGGTACTTCCTGTTATAGGGTGACAACACTTTGTACCTGTCTCCAAATGTTACTTCTGCATGGTCACATAAACTTCCAATGGAGACTACAAGCGGCCATTTCAATGCACATTGCACATGCATGCAGTGGCGTAACAACCGGGTGGGCTGGCCCCGGGCAAAAAGATGAAGGGGGGCGCCGGCCGAAAATTGCACTTTTGGCTAAATGCCGAAAGTGCCATTTTCCTGCCGTTTTGTCCACGCAGCCGTGATTTCTTTCCTCCCCGGTGGGCGCTGCTCTTTGTCCCAGCAGGGAGGAGAGAAAGTGACAGCCAGCCGAGCGCTGCAGGAGGAGACCGCCGTGATCGGCCGGTGTCTCTCCTCCCACACCGCTCAGCCGCCTATCACAGTCCGGCAGAGCGGTGTGGGGGCGGAGACAGCGCTGTCACCGGAGGCTGGGCTTTCCTTCCTACACCCCTCGCTCAGCCTCCTGTGGCATCGTGTGTCAGAGAGGAGAGCAGGCTACATACACTCAGAGATCAGTGATCGCTGAGTGTTTGTAGATAATTGAGGACATGGTATGGTTACTATATCCTCAATTATGAATGAATGGGAGTGATCTATATCCCCTCCTGTTCATTCATAATTGTAGTTATAGTAAACATACTATATTCCAATGAATAGGAACACTCAGTATAGAGGATTCCAATTACAGAATCATGTGGCAAACCAGATGCCATTTTGTGGTTTTGCCACAGCTGGAGGTCCAAAGTTTGCCTACCCCGGCCTTGTACAAAGTCTTGACTTTTGTTGGGTACAAACCATGCCTCTTTCCTGTGCCTAGACCCCACCTACAATTGAGCAGTATTCTTAGCCACTTTTTTTGAGAACATAGGATGTTCACATTAAAGTGGACTTTCCATGAAAATGCAATGTCCACTTTCAGTCCAAACTGGAAGAAAAAAAAAAGCAAAAAATACTACACCCCATCTTCTGGCTGCTTCCTGTTGGCGTCGATGACACAAATGGGTCCCAGTGTCCTAGGAATGGTATCAAATTGTACAAGAATGCTCCCCTGTAATGTGTAGGAGTACATACTACCAGAATTAGGGATCCTCAGCTTGGGGCAAAAGGTAATTATTTTTTAAATATTTTTTTAGGGCTGTTACTGATTAAAATGTTCGTGTTCAATTAAACTTCCCTTCGTTAGACGACGGAGCTACTTGGGGAAGGGGGGAGGAGTCCGGTGACGTCGATGTCCGTGACGTCACTGGATCTCCGACGGGACTCCCGGAAGCAGGGGTGAGGTGAGTGTTTTCATTAGCGATCAAAAAAATTTCAATCGATCAAAAAGATTAACGATTAATCGAGAAATTAATCGTTAATTTGCACAGCCCTAATTTTTTTACATTTCTTTTTTCTTTCCGCTAGAATTGTTTGATCTAGAGGTAGAGGCTGCCTAATAAGCCAACCCCTCCAAGCTACTCAACTAGCATTTTTTTTTCCTGAGCCGCCTCTTCCCAGAACTTTCGTTCCAATTTGGCAGCAAAGTCCATGTTTTTGTTACAGAGCGGAGGTTACAGACAGGTGGCGTTCTGCCCAGAGGACCAACGCTCGTTAATAATTTAAAGAGCTGCTGGGCAGCCACGTGAAGAAAAAAAGTGCGGAAAATTACCTTTCGGAACTGTGGTCAATCATGTTCATGTCATGAGAGGAAATTCTGAATTCACTGATTCGTATGATTTCATCAAAGCCAACCTCCACCGAGTAGTAAACAAAGACTTTTCCGTTGTGCTTAAAATTTGGATGGAAGACGATTCCTAGAAACCCTCGCTCGTCGCCTTCCCAGGGAGAGGTGAGGACAGATTTAGAGATGTTTAAAAATGGAGTTTCCAGCCTGGAACGGTCAGGAAGATAGGCCCACACCAGGCCCACTTGTTCCGCCACGAAGAACCGATGCGTGCCGTCGTTGGCGTGCACCATGGCGACGGGGTTTTGAAGGCCGTTGGCCACTTCTTCCAGACACAGCTGCAGACAGCCCTCTGAGTCAGCCGTCACCAAGCCCAAATCTTTGTTCAGTTTGGTGTTCACCAGCAACCGAGGGAAACAGTAGTCCACGTCGTCCAGGGACAGGTGGCGGCAGAACTTCGCCATGTTACCTTCCAAGGACAACAGCTCTTTGTCTGATGACATGTATCTGAAGAGAGACCGGCACTTCTTCCAGACATCAGCGCAATATTCCTCGCAAAGCCCCGCGATGGTCCTTACAGGGGTGTTGGGGTCTTCAGCATCAAACAAATGGGCCGCGTAGGGGGAACACTCCTGAGGAAACAGAAAATAAACACAATAAAAAAAACAAAAACAAAAAATACTTGATGTAAAGGAGAACAGAGGGAAAATATGATGGGTTTTGGATCAATTTTGCTTGCCTATTTATTTTTTTAAATTCCCAATTCTGTGCATTTTTTTTTTATACTTACCATTTTCGATATAAGGCTGGTCACATGACATACCAGGTCCTCTAACCTTTTTGGATCATCTCCTGGCCGAGGGCAGTGCTTAGTAATGCAGAGAGCAGCTCTGCTGTGATGAGTGAGTGGACAGTGCCATAGCGACGACCCCTCAGGGGTCAGGTCCATGAAGCCCAGCACTCACTGTATGTCCTCAGTCTTCCAGGTTGAATGATGCTGCGCGTCATCCAATCTGGACGACTGAGGACATCCTGTGGCAGGCAAGAAGTACTGCGGGGGACAGGGCCAGAGAGGAGTTAAGCATTGCAGCTATATATATATATAATGAGATATATATAATGTGTATATGTATATATGTATGTATACAGCAGTTTTCTTTAAAGCGCTCCTTATTTCAAAGTCTGACTTCTTTAAAGGCAAACTCCACTATTATAATAAATAATATAGCATATAAAATTGCTGTACAAGCCATTTTGTAATTTAATGTTGGTAAATATTAACTTTCCATTTCAATCTAATTTAATTTTCTTCTTTTAAAAAAAAACCCAAACTATTAAAAAAAATAAATGCAACATGGCAACCTCGAAGCTTCTATACACAGTTGGTGTATGGAATGCCCCCAGAAAGATATTTTCCTGCTTGTGTGATTGGCTCACAGAACTCTGCAATAAATGACAGGTAACATTTTAAGCATCTCCTGTAATAGATATTTAATTTTTGGTGAGATGCTCCCTAAGGGTTAATTACTTTTAAAGGGATGGCGACACCGCACCTTCTCCTCATTAGAACACTGGAAGGTGCACCAGGTGGTTATAGAACCCGACACCCCCATTCAGGAATCGGTCTGTAAAGCACATGGTGAGACACACAGCTTTTTTTCTTCAGAACAGTAACAGGTAGGAAACTGTCACATTGTTTGTTAAAATCCTTACAATGGAGGATTAATGCCTTTAAGGAGGTTGGGCTTCCTCCTGAACAGAGAGCCGTGACGGGATCGAGAAGTGAGCGAACGCCGGTATGTGTTCGCTCACCTCCCGATCTACTGAGCCGACCTGTGACAGTCTCATTGTCACAGGTCGGCTAGAACTATGAGGTGAGTGAATAGCACTCCCCTCATAGTTCTCCTTTAAGCACAGCTGAACGCAAAAATAGTTGAATATGTGACAAGCAGACTAGCGCTACCTCTACCTCTGCTGGTGGCATAAATAATACATAAAATCGATATGTAATGTTTAGAAAAAATAGACTTTTCTAAATATTTATTTTTTTAGCCTTGACTACATTATATAAATAATGGAAGAAAATATATACAACGCTGGTATACATTCCCATGAAAGGAAACTTGTAATTAGCACAATGATTTAGAGACAAAGGACAATAGTTAAAGTGACATTAAACCCTCAGATTTTGTAACATAAAACAATACTGTAATGTGCGCCTTACTGTAATCCATGGTTGTTTCCCTTCTCTTTGCTGCTCTTCCTTTTAAATCTGTATCTCTTCTCATGCTGGGGCAGAACTTCTGTTTTGCAGCAGACTGCCTTGTCTCAGGAATGGATACATGGTGTCTGTGCATAGGTTTGTATAGGCTTGTAACCTGAGCCAGCACTACAGGAAGAGGCAGTCAGCTGCAAAGGGAAGTTCTCCCCAAGCATGAGAAGACATGAGGATTTAAAAGGAAGAGCAGCAAAGAGAAGGGAAACAACCATGGATTACAGTAAGACGCACATTACAGTATTGGTTTATGTTAAAAAATCTGAGGGTTAAATGTCACTTTAATGTGATAATATGGCTACATGTGGTCAGCATATAATGTACACCATGTGACATATCTGTAGGAAATCCAACTGGGAGGGAGATTCTAGCATGTCAGGTGAGAGAGGGCACAAGCAACTGTAAGGTGAGACAGGAAACGTAAGCAACTGTGAGGAAAGCTCACTAGCAGTGTCTTCAAGAGATTTATTATATACCTGAATATATTTATTTTGTATATTCTGGCAAATAATAATAATTTGTTCATTTGGATTTGGACGAGCCGCCGAATCAACGTCATTTCCTAGATTCACAAGTTTGTCAGAATGCGAATACGCGCGTCTAATAAAAACATTTACACATGCTGATAAGATTAATCACACGCGCTGATCTCTCACATGGATATAGAACAATGAGAAGACTAAACCTTCCCTTTAAGGTGACCTGACGTTCACCTCGTCCACATGACACTCCAAGGTTACCGCTGTCTCATCACATACTGTGTGTGCTTTACCCAGAAGTGTCATCAGGGTGATCCAGCCGGACACGCAGCTTCATTCCAATTGTTCAATCTCCTCCATGTGACCTGCTGCAGGCTCAGAGCTGACACTGAGGCATCATTCCTTCATGATAAATGATCATTTCAACCCCCTACAGGGTGCCCTCCCCCACCTGGCACAGTGTAATGCATAGATTCCCCTTGCTAGGTGCCCTCCCCCACCTGGCACACTGTAATGCATATATTCCCCTTGCTGGGTGCCCTCCTTCAGCTGGCACAGTGTAATGCACAGATTACCCCTGCTGGGTGCCCTCCTTCACCTGGCACAGTGTAATGCACAGATTTCTCCTGCTGGGTGCCCTCTTTCACCTGGCACAGTGTAATGCACAGATTGCGCCTGTTGTATGCCCTCCCTCACCTAGCACAGCGTAATGCACAGATTGCCCCTGCTGAATGCCCTCCCTCACCTGGCACAGTGTAATGCACAGATTGCCCCTGTTGTATGCCCTCCCTCACCTGGCACAGTGTAATGCACAGATTGCCCCTGTTGTATGCCCTCTCTCACCTGGCACAATGTAATGCACAGATTGCCCCTGTTGTATGCCCTCCCTCACCTGGCACAGCGTAATGCACAGATTGCCCCTGTTGTATGCCCTCCCTCACCTGGCACAGTGTAATGCACAGATTGCCCCTGTTGAATGCCCTCCCTCACCTGGCACAGGATGTCCTGCACATGTGCAGCGCACAGCTCGTACCCAGCCTGGTCCACATTGGCCAGGACTCGGTAGAAGTTGTCCATGATCTCCTGGTCCCGGGCTGAGTCGCAGCAGCCGAACTCCTTGTACTGCACGCAGAAGGTCAGCTCCTGGGGGGGGCGGAAAGGCGGCTTGAAGTCCAGACACTGCGGGTGACAGAGGACGCCAGGCGACCAGGAGAGGAGCAGAGCGGCCGGGAGAAGCAGCCATGCAGCCCCGGAGCCCATCCTGACAGCTCCCTTCCGAGCACACAGCCGAGACTTTATTCTGCAGCCTGTCCCTCCCCAGTCATCTGCTGCTCTGCACATTGTCCCTGTTATGCAATAAGACCGGCCCCTGGGCTGAGCTCCTCACTGCACCCCTTCCACCGGCACTGCACCCCCCTACCACTGACAACCGGGGGCTGTATGCATGCAAGCCATGGCCTTCCACCACACGCTGCATGATCGCCTGTGCAGAGTGACGCTGCTCATGTCATCACAAGTTAACCCTTTCCTCCAATCCTTAAAGTGTATCTAAACCCAAGAACAAAAATGTAACATTGTATATACAAAATAAATAGAAAATAATAGAATATATATCAAATATTGCAGCTCGCCAGTCCTAAGCCCCCCATACTCATTTCAGTGTGAGCGCTTTCGGGTCATTTTGAAGCTTCTTTTGTCTGTCTGCATTCATTTTCACGCATTTTGTAAGGCATTTTCTGGCTTTGTTTAAAGTTTTTTTGTGTTGGCCAATGGAAAGCTAGTTACTAGGAGGAGGAGACGGTTGTCAGGCGCATGCAATCATGCGTTACGCACAGTTTCCATTTTGAATAAAGATGTCATCAGCACACCAGTGCGACACTTTCCAAGTCAGTGCAAATCCGTTTCATTGGATAGATGTCGCTCAGATGTCAAGCGCTTTCGGGGCCGCTCAGGGTCCCCTTCATCAGGCTCAGAGACGACCCTGCGCGGCCCCGAAAGCGCTTGATATCTGAGTGACATCTATCTAATATAATATGGATTTGCACTGACTTGGAAAGTGTCGCGCTGGAGTGCAGATGACATCTTTATTCAAAGTTCTACTGCGAGCGACGCCATGCGCGGTCATTTCGAGCCCCCGACATTATTTTGGGATATCCGGTAAGGAGTGCTGCAGGACATGTGACATTGTTTCACACACAATTTCCATGCGCTTCCATTGAAGTCTATGGGGCCACAAATGCAAGATTCTGCGCTAAGGGTACATTCACCACACCAGATGCAGTGTGTTCCGGTCCGATTCTGGCCGGAACGCCCTGCATCGCATTGCAGACAGCTGCCAGCGCTATTTTGATCGCACCGGAACGCAGGCACAATGTGTCTTGCGATCCCGTGCGGGCGATCGCATTGTGGCCGGAGGGCGTGGCTACGGTGCCATTCACTTCAATGGCCCGCTATGACCCCTCCTGCCCTGCAAAAAAAGTGAGCCGGCCACAATGCGATGCAGTGCGTTCCGGCCAGAATCGGATCGGAACGCACTGCATCTGGTGTGAACGTACCCTAAACAAGCTCATTCATTTTTTTTCGAGCGAAAGGCGTGAACAGGTGCCATAAAAAAATAATGCGTTTCTAACACTGAGCATGTTGCGTTCTGGGAAACACACAACAAGACACTCGGGGAGCTTATTCTCTCTTGGTGATCCTAAAAATAACATGCTTCCTAGGGTGACACCAGTCACTCACCATACTGTATCTATGGAGGAGCAGCGTTGTCATCCTAGGCTGTGCTTCTAATTCGGACTACAAATACCTTATCCTTACGTCATCTCTATTACATAGGTAGGAGGTGTTCTGTAGTTCAGACGTTATCTTGACAGGCTGATAACATTATGTGAGATATCAGTTCAGTGCTCGGGGAGTTACAAGAACACTGAAATTCTGGCCGATCAACAGTTTGTTTTTCTCTACTAGCAGAAAATGTTCTTAGCCTGAAAAAAGAAAACGAATGCAGCCACCACATGTGAGGACTGGTAAGCTGCAATATATGACATTCATGTTCTTGAGTTTAGAAATGCTTGAATCACTCTGCACTATATGCTCTTCAAGGCAGTAGGATTTAACCCTTTGCACCCATGTTAGTAGCTGTTTGTCATATGCGAAGCATGACTGTACAAGTTAACCCTTTCTGCTCATGCAACTCGCTGGTTGGTGGCTGTCAGCACAAGTTAGCTGCTTCCACACCTTAGCTGTACAGCTTAACCCCGATGTCAGCAGAGGGTTGTTTTTCTCGCCCCTCATATAGTGCTACTTAACCCAGTGAGAACCAGCAATCAGGGCCGGATTTCCCACAAGGCCACCGAGGCCTGGCCTTGGGGCGGCAGGGAGTAGAGGGGCAGCACAGCCCCACAGCCCTCTACACTTAGCCCCTGTGTGATAGCGATAAAGTTAAAATAAAAATAAAATTTAAAAAAATAAAAATTGATAAAAAATAACAAATAATAAAATAAGTAAAGTATAAGAAATACAAATTA